TCTTGTTTTCGGTTGGCTTATATAGGCATCTCGGGGCGTTTAACACAGGAGAGGAAATGGTCCCATAACTCTGACCCCAGAATCGTTTAGCAGATTTGGAAAGCGGATTTGAGATACTCACCTGGAGACACATTCGGCAGTATACATCTCATCTCAGATGGCCACTGCGACCTAGTATCCTTCCCTTGTTAGTAGAGACACCATCTTGATCACCCATTTTACTGTTGTAGTTTTGGGTTGGAAGAACCGACTGAGTTTTCCCAAAACTTTCCAGAACACTGATAATTACCCACTTCATTCGCAGAATAATATCGCCGGAAATCCGTTTTTCTATTGGATGACTGCTCAGTTAGACAAACTCCCAGAGGAGCTCTCGCAAAAATAAGACATTTCTCTTCAAAGAGCTTTGCTAAACATTGCCTTCATACCTTGATGAATAACTTTTTATTTATATCTTACCAACTTATAAAAACTCGAGCATCCGTTCCTCTCCCTCCACCCCACGTGCCAGAACCTCCTTCCCTCACCTCCAAAAATAGTAGCATTTGTGTCATAGCTCATCAGCATTCGCTCTGACGTGGGGGCTATGAAGGCTCCGAGTAGCGTGGGGGCTATGAAGACCCCCCCGGACTTTCTACTAAACACGCATGCTCTGATGCTCTGCGAGCCAAAAACGTCTTTATTAGCTTCTATCAGCTGTAATAACTTGCTGTAATCCGTGAGCTGCGACCCAATCACATAATATATTACTCACTCAAGTAGAGTATTTCGTCGCCATTGCGATGGACTTGGGAATATCCTACATCAACTTCAATAGAATTTTTGCCTCACACCGCTGTTGTTCCCAAGTTGTACACAGGTACGGACCATCGTCTCCTCACCGCTAGGCTTCTGCTTTCAAAAAAAAAAAAGGGATGCGAAAAACGGAAAGTGCCATTACACCCTGACACTACTTCGGTTCCCTTGCGATTTCTGAGAAAATTCCGTTATCGATAACATCGATTTATTTTGAAAATGAATTTAAAGATTTAATCTTGCAGTTTTAGAAAATTTTTTCCAGCTTGTTCAACTTCTTCGCGATAGTCCCAGCTGAGCACAAATACAGAGTCTACAAATAGCCAAAAGAGGTCTCCTCTCGAAGATCCTCAAGTCTCTCCTCGGAGACTCTCAAGCTTATAGCGTGGAGTCGCTACGTGAAAAAGGCGTAGGTTCGCCAAATACAAGTTCAAAATGACTTTCTTCCGTTGGTAGAACAGGTATTGCATCTCAAAGGGCAACGGAGGAGGTCATCTACTACTCGGGTGTGCGAATGAGTTTTCGATCGCTCCTAATCAAGCTTGCCTCGCACTTAGGCGCGAAGCGACCTTAATTAGATGCGAAGACTACGCTATAATTATGCTGCCCGCACTCGCTACTAATCGAATTAAAACTTCTCAACTAAAGAGGATAATGACAGTTGAAAAAAGTTTCTCTTAAAAAAATAGTTTTTTAAACGAAAAATTCCAATATCAATTTGAACAGTTTTGAGAGTTTTATTTACACGCATAATAAATAAGTTCAATATATTTCATTTCAAGCTCCTGGAAAATGGGTAAAACAGTTTAGTTCACATCTTTTTTCGGTGTTTTCGCTAATTTGCGATATCAAACAACCTTTACCGAAGCGATGTAGATCTCTATAGTTGTTTAGTATTGGGACTACTTTTCATTGAGAGGTCATTGAACGCTCTACGGCTCACCATGCTGGCCATTTCAAAGCTTTTACGGCATTTAGCAAGACTTCAGGCTAAATTCAACACCTTGAGGAGAGGTCATCGAGGACTATTTAACTAGTTGGGTGAGTGCTTTAGCTACCTCCGCTTACTTTTTAAGACATTACCAATGTATTCTGGAGAAACACTCTACTGTTTCGATGAACTTACAGGGTGCCCGCTCCAAACTATTTAGGGGTGCGCGGTCCATGTGGCCCATTTCCTCCACTGTCCGAGCTTTTCACTTTTGCTCCGAAGGCCTAGCGCTAAAAAATGATTCTTTCGAGAGTTCTGCGTCTACACAGCCTCCTCCAATGCAGCTGGATCCCGCATCACAACCTTCACCCTGAGCGTTTCCTGCACCACCACAGCCTTCTCCAATGCAGCTGAATACCGTAACACAGCAATTTTTCAGTTTTTTCACTTATGAATTCGTATTACTGTTGAATCAAACCGTTTTCTCCCACATCACACAAACTTTATTCACAAAATGTATAGAATTCATTTAATGCGTGTAAATAGAACTCTGTTGAAGTTGATATTGGAACTTTTTCTTTGAAAAAAGAACACTTGTTAATAGAATCTCCATTTTTTTGAACTGTCATCATCCTCCTCAGTTGACAAGTTTTAACTCGATTAGTAGCGAGTGCGGGCAGCGTAATTACCATAAAGTCTTCGCAACTGATTAAGGTCACTTCACGCCTAGGTGCGAGGCGAGCTTGATTAGGTGCAATCGAAAATTCGTTCCCGTACCCCTTCTATTCGGATCTCTTCGGCAGTTATGTCGCTGATGCGAGACGGATTTCGATAGGGGCAAGCTGGAACTTCTAAGAGCCTCCCCTCAGTTATCGTAAGAACTCAGGTTGGGCTTTTCACACGGTACCTATAGGAATGCAAAAGCCCCCGTCGAGGAAAAACAGCCGGGCTGAGGGGCCCAGCACAATCGATCGCATCGCCACTGTTACAAGACTCATCTAGGTATCGCGAGAATACAGGATCCCGTTATCCCGTAGAGTGTTCCAACTGGACATATGAGGATGCGACGTGAGTCCTACGACAACTTCATCGAAAAAGTCATGGTCAAAGTGGTCCCCTTTAAGTTGAAAAACGGAGGTGTTGGTTGGAAGTAGTGCATCTGTGGAAAAGGAAGCGAGAAAAATCGCCGATTTTGTGAAAAATATGGCTCATCGAAAGCAATGGAAAGAGAGGTTGTACGAGTTACCATGACGAAAAAGACATGGAAAGGGTATATGGAAGAGATTTCGTTTGTTGCAACTGCACAAAGAGCTGACTACATCAAGCCAAAATTTTCCAAAAGTGTCTTTCACTGTCGCTATGAATCGTGACAAGTTGTTGGTACTTAAAAAATTCCCTTGTGAATGTTGCAGCCTCTACAATGTCGTTGAGACTCGTCCGCCCAAACATGGGATAGCTTTGAGCCTTTATATCGCCCTTCCTAGTGTCAACCTGGCCTGTCAACGCAACATATGGTGCAGGTGCACTCACTCTAGCGAGATAGCCATGCTTATCGTGCACTGTAACTCTAAGGAAGACGATATTAATGAGACACGAACTGGTACCCGATGCTCCCTTGCGTCCAATGGAACGAATGTTCCGGTCACGTTGATCTAAATCGACAAGTCTACGTGACGAACGACCTACCTCCTTAGGTGAGCAGATGGAAGCGCGCGGCTTTTAGAGCATTCAGTGAGTAGTGAAGAAAGTAAAGGACATTCGGCATCGCGCTAACCTTTCGACACTGCTGTTCTTCTTACTTTTACGTGCGCCTCGAAGACTGCACTTTACGGAAACAGGATGAACATGCTGTCGTCACTTAAGGGAGGACGAAGCCCGGGTTCCTCGCACACACAAGAGCAGAAGGGAAGTCGGAGTTCCGAGCTCCGCCAACGAACGAAGGTCAAAGATGATGCTGCTTACGTAAATAAATCGGAGACCAGGTCGGACACTTTATGCGAATTCGTAATGACCGTTAAAGCCAAGCGCCTGTATTCCTAGAGAGGTCGAACAAACACCAGGATGGTCATAAGCGCGATGGCTAGACTTCTTTATGTAAGCTCGGAACGAAAAGAATGCTGTGTCTCGTGTCACTCAAGCGAAGACGATCCACTGGGTAGCTCTGGTCGGCGACAGAAACGAATGGAGTTACTGGCGCCGAGGAAATCGATAATCGACGAGACAACAGGGTATAGGTGATAGAGAAGTGGAACGTCAGACTACTATATCATCCGGCTACTCAGACAATTTTTGCTTTCTAGTGCAAAAAAAAAACGGAAACTTGTTAGGGATAGTGTCCATGTACAGATTTCCATGACCTCGGCATGATTGTATCTTGATATAGTTTTGTATTGAACTCTCACGCACTCTCACGGGTTGTAAACAAACTTTACTGACTAACTTTTTGCCGACATCGCCTTCTCCAAAACCTGAAAAGACCAAAACAATTTAAGCACATCCGATCAAACCCCTCCGCGCCTTACTGAAGTTCAGGACAAGCAGGACAAGCACGTAATCTAATAGGGAGCCATTCACAGTAACTTCGTGAATCCTGCTAACCACCCAGCAACCGATAGTGGGACCAGAGTTAGCTGCGCGATTGTGCGCGCGTAAAACCCTCGAGGCATTTTGGATACAGGTTACTAGATTAAAAAAGAACCATAGGGTAGAGTTCCTCAAAACTACGCAAGGAAGCGGAACCATAGTCTCTCGCACAGGAAGCGTCAACCTCGCACTGCTCCAAGCTACCGCTAAGAAACTCGGTACATCCATGAATTCGGGCTCGTTTAGATTAAGTCCACCTAAAATCGCCCTCACACCTCCATTCACCTCCAATGAATTGCAATATTGGAAAGCAGATTTGAGATAAACACCCAAAAACGCGTCTACCAGTATTGGTGTTTCGTCAAATGCTGTTATTTGGTATAAGTTTCATTTCAAATGGCTAGTTGGATTTGGGATCATTCCCTGGTTAATCACCAACTGAAAACTTGATCGCATTTAGTAAAAACAAAAAAAAAAACAGTAGGAGGAGAAGATACTCACTGCTTCACATCTTTTCTGCTGCGGCCGCTGTAGGTATCACGGTCGGGAGTTTTGTGGCGAACTCTATTTGTTTCTTCATCATCCAATCCCTGACATATTTGCTGTAATGAGGAAAGGGAAAATTGAGGAAATACTATTCTCAGGTTCAAGGAGCAAAATATCGGCCCCGACTTAAACAATCCATAATCGTCTTTTTCACTGTTATTGTTAAAAAATCACCATGTCAACAGGTCGGGCTTCATAGTGATCGTACTTTGGGGACCTCCTTCTCTTGTGAACGTGATGGTCTCTGGAATCACGAGAGCGACGTCTCCTTGAATGTCTGAAACTGGCAGATTAAACAGACCATACGCAGTTTATCCAAATGACTCCAATGTTTTCCATTCTCCATTAATTAATGGATGACTATAACAGTTTATATATCCTACTTCATATAATACGCTAAGTGTGTCTGTTGGCTTGTCGGTGTGTGTGTGTGTGTTTGACCGGAAATTCACAACTCCTGTTCCCGTGGACCTAGAAAGCTCAAATTTGGCAGGAGTACAGGGGCAGGATGAGAACACTTATGACAGGTGGTAGGACCAGACTTCACCCCCAAGGGCAGGGCATGCGCGATAGAAATTTTACGCCGCAAATTCATAACTCCTGCTCCTTTGGGCCTAGAAAGCTCAAATTTGGCAGGGGTACAGGGGGCAGGATGAGAACACTTATGACAGGTGGTAGGACCAGACAACACCCCCAAGGGGCAGGGCATGCGCGATAGAAATTTTACGCCGCAAATTCATAACTCCTGTTCCCGTGGACCTAGAAAGCTCAAATTTGGCAGGAGTACAGGGGCAGGATGAATGACAGGTGGTAGGACCAGACTCCACCCCCAAGGGGCAGGGCATGCGCGATAGAAATTTTACGCCGCAAATTCATAACTCCTGCTCCCGTGGGCCTAGAAAGCTCAAATTTGGCAGGGGTACAGGGGGCAGGATGAGAACACTTATGACAGGTGGTAGGACCAGACAACACCCCCAGGGGGCAGGGCATGCGCGATAGAAATTTTACGCCGCAAATTCATAACTCCTGCTCCTTTGGGCCTAGAAAGCTCAAATTTGCCAGGAGTACAGGGGGCAGGATGGGAACGCTCATGACGTGGTAGGACTGGACTCCATCCGCAGGGGGCAAGGCGTGCGCGATAGAAATTTTGGGCCGCAATTTTATAACTTCTGTTTACGTGGGCCAAGAGCGTTCAAATTTGGTAGGATCACACTTTTCGAAATACCAGTGGAACTTCAGCATTCTAATAGGTGATGCAGGATATGAGGGGATCGTAGGTACTCGGTGACAGGAACTGATGATAACTTATAAGAGAAGATAAAGGACCTAAGAGAGGCCACCTATCGATCAAAATCTTAGCATCTTCGGTATCTACGATGTAGCTTTGACCGTTCAGTATGTTTCGTTCGATGCAACCGGATGGTAGAGCAAAAGTGAGTGGTAAGTGCAATGGTAGGGAACCATTAGGGCAATACGATGAGTAGGTTAGAACTTAGTTCATTTCTTACAATGAGATTACGACCGCTACCCAGCAAGGTTTGTGATTCAATGAAGGGCCCTCTTTGGTCGATATCATTGGCGACAAAACTTAACCGACCACCAATAAAATGGAATTCTCAACTGATGATATCTCCGTTAAGAAGAGGGTCCATTGATAAAGAGTATCCGATAACGGTGTTATCATCTCTCAGAACATCTTCACAGCATCATCCTTGATTGTCTAACAGTTGGATTTTTGATGTGTATTTATTTCTAAGAAAGCAACGGCTCGAGACTTCCAATCAAAGGCGTAAGCACCGACTTAAACGGTCAACTTTCGATTTCCTTGTTTCAGTTTCATACTCTCACTCAGCTAAACAACAAAAAAAAACTTAAAAACTATAAACTTTGAAAAAGGGAAAAAAATTCTTCAGTTCGACATTTCTCGGTTTAGGGTGTTTGACACGAGGAGGAGAGAATGGCGTCAGAAGGGCGATCCGACTGGTATATATATTACATACTGATGCTTTTCTCAAAGCACATACACTGAGCACGAGCACGACAAAGTAGTCAACAACTTGTATGAGCGTCGTTAGTTTTAGAGAAGTTATGGAGCGTAAAATATACTGCACGTCTACAAACATTCCCGTGTTTATTAGGGCATAGCCGAAAAATGCAATCGCCGGAAAATCCAATTCATTTTTAGACTAGGCGCAGAAGTTCCAGCAACTTATATTGAAACCAGTCGGATCGCCCGGCTAACGCCATGCTCACCTCCTTCTTGTATCAAACACCCTATCTCGAGAAATGTTAAACTGAAAAATTTTTCCCTTTTTCAAAGTTTATAGTTTTTGAGTTTCTTCCCGCTGTTTAGCTGAATAAGAGTATGAAACTGGAACAGAGCTCGAAATTCTTCTTTGACACAACCGAATCGAAAGCTTCCCTAATTCTTTGATAAAGTTATAGTAAGTCTAACTCTCCACTCCTTTTTTGAAACAAATAAGTTTCCTGTACACGAAATTTGACACAGGACTAACACAGTGCAGTGCAAATGGTATTCAGTTAAAGTCGGCGCTTACGTCTTTGATTGGAAGTCTTGAACATTTGCTCTCTTCCTTAGAAATAAGTACCCAACGGAAAACCAACTGTTATACAATCGAAGATGATGCTGTGGAGATGTTCTGAGTGGAGATGACACCGTTATCAGATGTTTCATTAGTGGACCCTTTTCTTTACAGAGATATCATTTGTTGAGGATTCCAGTTTATTGGTGGTCGGTTAAGTTTTGTCGCAAATAATGTCGATCAAAGAGGACCCTTCATTGAATCACAAACCTTGCTGGGTAGCGGTCGTAATCTCATTGTAAGAAATGAACAAAGTTCTAACCTACTCATCGTATTGCCCTAACGGGTCCATATCACTGCACTTACCACTCACTTTGGTCACCCTGCTCCACCGTCGTCTTAACGAATGAAACATACTGAACGGTCAAAGCTACATCGCAGATACCGAAGACGTTAGGATTTTGTTCGGTAGGTGGCCTCTCTTAGGTCCCTAATCTTCTCTCATCAGTTATGATCAGCTCTTGACACCGACTGCCTTCGATCCCCTCATATCCTACTTCAATTACTACTATGCTGAGGTTCCACTGTTAGTACGAAAAGTGTAATCCTACCAATTTTGAAAGCTTTGGGTGCACGGGGACAGGAGTTATAATTTTGCGGCCCAAAATTCCTATCGCGCACGCCCCGTCCCCTGTGCATGGAGTCCGGTCCCGCCACCCACCATAAATGTCCCCATCCTGCCCCTCGTACTCCTACCATGTTTGAACGCTCTAGGTCCACGGGGACAGGAGTTATGAATTCCCGGTCAGACACACACACCGACACACAAATAAACACACACACAAACACACCGACAAACCAACAGACACACTTAGGGAATTATATAGAGTAGTATAAAATAAATGGGTACTATTCTACTATTACACCCCCAGAACCATTCTACTGTTACACCCCCAAAAACTCAAAATTTTAATTTTCGATGAAACTTTGCCTACAGGGGTTATTTGAGGTCCTGATAACGAATATGACCTTCATTTTTGGNCCAAAAATGAAGGTCATATTCGTTATCAGGGCATCGGATTACCTCTATAGGCGAAGTTTCATCGAAAATTAAAATTTTGAGTTTCTGGGGGTGTAATAGTAGAATAGTGCCAATAAATGATAAGGAAAGCAAGAAAACAAATTAATATGGTTACCTCTCTGAGGACACATTAATCGGCTGAGCAATATAACTGCGACGATCACTAGGTCTCCTCATCGCTTCTGGAAATCATTAAGGAGTGAACAATAAAGCAGGCTCCAGAAGATGCGAACAGATGCTTAAAAGTGGTTTGATCAAGCAAGCTGCGACCGAAAACAGGACCTAAGCCAAAATTGGTTTCCAAGGTTGTGTATCAACTTCAGCTCTGGCCGCACCATTGCCGCCATTACAGTACCCCACGCCTAAATTTATTCATTCGCGACCTCGGCGCCTAGCGTTACTGACGGCCTTCCGATAGCTTAAACTCAGTAGCGACGTACCATTCTTGGTTGCATTTGTTTCCGCTCGAGTTAGGAGTCTGTAATTGCTTATCCTCAGCAGATACAGGAATTTCAGGTTTGGAGACGGAACATTCACCGGGGACGGAACATTCGCTGTCGTATCCTCGCCAGCCGAGGCCGCCTGTCACTCGAGAATTGACCACTGTATAGTGGTCTAGTGTAGTGCCGATTGTCGAGTGACAAGCGGCCTCGGCTGGCGAGGATACGACATCTGGATGGAAGAGGCAAACCGCGCGACGAAATTCGTGGTGATTTAAACGACTCCGGAGCCTACATTGAGGCACGAGTTTGAAGTAGGGTAGTTAAGTAGCATCAGTTGGCCATACTTATGCAAACTGAAACCTTTGCCCCAATGGTACGTGCCAGAGTCGTTCGAATCGTCGCGAATTTCAGCGCATTTGAAAATTCAGTTTGTCTTTCCTGAGTGCTGAAAGGTATAACATATGCTTGGATCTATGGTACGACGTGACGTTTGGACAAACCTACATGTGTTTACCTAAGTATGTAATCCTATACCAACTATCTTGGGTCATATCAAAAAGATTTCGATGTCCAATTAATTTGTGATACAGTAGCTCGATATGTTACGCGGTCACGCTGCTTGCATTAGAGCGGTAAAAGTCCTTGAGCTACTGCTTGTTAATTTTAAAGTAACTAACATAAAACGTGCACAAGTGTGTTGGTTGAAAGTCTATAGCAAATGTCATGAAGCCGTTCCAAACAGTATGAAATCATTTCATTTAGACAGCTGGAAAACTTTCGTTTTATTCCGTGGACCTGCTGGAAGTTGAAGTTGTTTGCAGGATTATTCGTATCATTTTCTTTGTCAATTCGTTGATACTTCGACATTCAAACATTATAGCGTCGCCCATTTTATGCTCACACGACGTCTTCTTCCTTCTTCTGCTTTTCTAATATTCTAGAATGAAACGAAGTTCTTAATTCATAGAACCTATATTAGTTCAGATGAGTGTTTCAGACAATTCAACAGTCAACTGGTTGATATAGGTGTGAAGTGATCTCAATTGAAACTGTTGGAAGTTGGAAAAGCTATCGAAGCGGAAATATTCATATGAAGTCCTATCCGAACCCCTGTACTCAGTCTACGAAATTGGATAAAAGTAAGCGCAGACTTACGGTAGTTGCCGTCAATACACAATTGCGAATTGCTACCGGGTGTGTAAATAAATCGCACCCATATTACGTACATGCGATGCGACTTTTTAACTGAGCCCTAGGGGAGAAGGAGCATCCGGCGGGC